ATCAGGTACCTGATGAGAGTGCAGCCTAGACCTACTCGGCCGGCTTTGGCAGGTTTGGTAAATTTTGGGTTAACACTTGGTAAGTATAACGTCACAAGTGAAATGAAAGGCAGGATGCCTCAGATCGCTAGGTCCCAGTCTTCTCATGTGAAAAAGCGATGAATATTAAAAATAGATGGGCTAGATCTAGGCTGATGAGAGTGTATTAAATTCCACACCGGACAAGCTGAAAATTGCTTGACCGCGGTGGGAATCTCACGATCATTAGACGTAAACTTTTAAAATCTTGAAGCAATGCGCTTAATTGGTTGTTTCAACCTGTGCACAAATACCAATGAAATTTTGCGATAGCATTGTACTTTGTTAATGTATGCCATTTTGTTGGAGTACGACTGCAGTGTCTACTGCAGATATAGATTGATGTATCGTTTAAAACGGTTGTTGGTGAATGTTTAGTTTATAGAAAGAAAACGTAAGCGAGAAGCTGAAGAGAGAAAGAAATATCCTTTAGAAAGGAGGATAAAGGAAGCAATAATTGGTCAAGAGGGCGCTATTACAATCGTGTCATCAGGTGTGTTAAGCATTGTGCCAAAATGACCGTAACTGGGATACATGCATTGGGAACATTTAAAAATGTTTAAAAGCCTACACCTTGTTCAGGATCAAGCCCTTTCTTTAATAGCAATATTATAGAAAGCTGCGGATTGAGAGGGATTCAACTACCTGAAAAAATGAAAAAAAATGAAAAAATGAAAAAAAACATTTCCTGAAAAAATGAAACTACCTGAAAAATGAAACTACCTGAAAAAAATGAAAGTATGAAACTACCTGAAAAAATGAAACTACCTGAAAAAAATGAAAGTATGAAACTACCTGAAAAAATGAAACTACCTGAAAAAATGAAACTACCTGAAAAAATGAAATTCCTGAAAAAAAGAAATTCCTGAAAAAATGAAACTACCTGAAAAAATGAAATTTCCGACGTTTCGAGCGAAGGCCCTTCGTCGGGAAGTTAAGTCACAAACGAAGAGCCTTTGCTCGAAATGTCGCAGTTTTACTTGTATTTTTGAGATGTTGTTACCTACCTATGATATACCCTAGCACAAGGCAGTTCACATATTGTAATGCTATATAATCAGTCACAATTCAGTGGTTGGAATGTTTCATGATTGTCATTTCATTGTTTTGAAAATCCTACTGTTCTCCATACCATCCAGTCACTCGATCTTTTCACATATTTGCGATGTTATGCAAAGGGACCATCTACCACCTCACCACCTTTTGGTAGTCTACATCGATTGTTCATTCTGCCTTGGAACACTGCTGTGCCGTTTGCCATTTGACGTCAACAATATAGTATCCTCCAATGTCTATCAGATTTGGTCGAGCACATATACCGAATACTCCATATATCCTCAGGCCTGACTGAGGCTACGTCCACACCAATCCGTTTTCGAAGAGTTTTCATATTATTCTCTGTTCACAAGGGAATAGAGAACAATTGTGCAATTACCTGAAACAATACGAAAACGGATTAGCGTAGCCTGAATGCCACTTTCCCAAAAAAGAGATGATCTGTACATGAAAACGATTAAGAAAATCGAGGAAGTTGTTTCTCGACGGTTGTTTATTTCTCTTTACTTTTCCTCTTGAATTATTAATGAGTTTTTAATTGTTTATATCAATCTTAGTAGAAGAAATAATCCATTACTCCGTGTTGTCTTCTAAAGATATTGCTAGTTGTTTATATAATTATGTAATATTCTGTTGTACTATATAGCAATCCGAAGACGTGAAAATGGCTGGTATGATGAAGATCATCCACTCGTATTCCTTTTCCTTGGTTCCTCTGGAATAGGTACTGCATATTGGCTTAAATTGTGCTTGACAGGACTTGCTTGATAGGGCGTGCATAATTGTAGTTCAGTCAGCCATGTTTTCCCACCTAACAGCTTTTGTTTTCTGTGTAGGAAAAACTGAACTTGCGAAACAAGTGGCGAAATATCTTCACAAGGACAATAAGGAGGTAGGTGGAGCACTTCATCATGTTACTAGGTAAGTCATCTGCATGTGTAATATTAAGGAACTGAGTATCAAATAATGCTGAAAACTCGCTGTATGTAGGGTTAGAGTCGTTGTAGATTATGTCAGGGCTAGAGTATAACTGTATGAGTATTGTCTAAAGTGCTAACAGAAATTTTAAAACTTTTCCGGAGTTAGTTTCATGGTTGAAGAATTGGGAAATGTTTTAAAAAGGAACATAATTTGTCGTAGCATATATTGGAAACACGTAAAGGCCTGTTTACACTTTCGCGATTTCTATAGGTACGTTTACGTTTCTTCTTCTGATCGATATTAACGAGTGGATGAATTATGAATGTTCAGATGAACATGTACTCAGAATATAACTCGCAAGACAGTCTAAACGGGCTTTAAAATAGCGTATCGTACAAGGCTCGTAAAAATGGACAACCTAGGTGCAGATGTTTTCTTCTCTTTTATCGACTACGCAGTTTCGTTACTTTCATTTTATACTGAACTACATATATCATAAGCTGAAAAATTATTTTATTTATTCGCCTTAGTTGAACAAACAAGTCACACATGCAAAGTGGTCCCTGAAATCATTATATATACATGTTGTTGTAAGAATTACTATAATTTTATTATAATCATGTAAGTTACTATATAGACAAGTTACTTATTGTACCGAGTAGATTACAGACAGCATAGTTATGAACTTGCTGTAGACGTTCATATTTAATTATTTATTGTCACATTTGTCAGTAGTACTATCTACTGGCCACTTTTCTGTATTAGCCAGCCTATGTCGGAACTTAATGTGCCTTACGAGATCACAAAGTCGATAAAATGAGCCACGGCCACAATGTTCACATGTATAGATAGCATTCTTCCTTGCATGTGATCTGATGTGTTTCTTTAAGTTACTTGGATCACCAAACGACTTCCAGCATACAGTACAGCGGAGTGGCTTGTGACCAGTATGCGTACGCATGTGTATTTTCAACACGTATCGTCGACAGTAGGATTTTCCACAATATTCGCATACAAAACGAGATCCGTTTTTTGTTTTATCTTCAGTATTGGTTAGAGAAGAACCAGATGCGTTGCCGGGTTCTTTCGGGTTTTCGTTTTGTTCTTGAGGTTCAGGTTGTGGACTGCTGTTCTTGCTGGTATCTGAGCCAAGTTCCTCGGCTTTCTTGTCTTCATCCCTGACTCGGCTTTCTTCACTTTGTGAATCACAGTTGATTACTAACTTTTGGATTAAGTCGTTTCTGGGCGTATCTTTGCTTCGTTGTGAAAACTGATCAGTACTGGTACTATCTCCATGATTTTCAGAATATTGTTTAAGGTAGTCGTCTTTCAGGCTAAGTACAGTGCCTGCTACATTCTTCCGTAATCCTTCTCTCTGATTACTTTCCTTTACTACCCAGGTTTCTTCTTGTAGATTTGTGTTGGGTTCTTTACTTGTCAGTTGACGTTCTCCAGTCTGTGTTGAGTGTGGCGCCAGATACGATTCTCTGTACCCTCTATACTCACGAGGCTTGGTCAGAGGCAGGTAGGGTGGCGGCCAAGAGCAAGTACAGCCGAGTGGACGCGTGATAGCAATTGGACGGCGGTACCAGCTGATATCATCGTTTGAACGGAATCCTGCTTTACTATATGCCAACTCCAGCCTTTTGCGATTGTAAATTTCCGGATCGTAGCGAGACTTGTGCACACACTCTGTACAATCCCATTGTCTCGACCGTTTTGCTTCTAGGGCATGCGCGTTGATCGTATTTGCAGATTCAGTGTTGTCACTTCGAAGCAACCAGCTGTCTATGTTATCTTCTCTTGACCTGTAGCCTGGTAGTAGCGATGTCTGCTGTTCCACAGGAGTTATTTCTTGAGTATTCTGTAGAATTTTGTGTTTGTTGTCGGCATCAACACTATCGAGCTTCAGTCCCTTGTGATTATGCGGCTGTTCTTTCATCATGCTTTCATCTAAATATAAATTATTATAACTACGGTTATCCTGCACAAAGTGGTATAGCCATTATTCTTCCAGTTTATTTTGAAAATCAGATTTATCACAAATTCACAGCACCACTCTAGACTAGAATTGCGATGGCTAGGTTAGGATTACTGACTGACGAAACAACTCCGTAACTGTAACTGGGAAGAGATTGCCATAATAGACAATTTTCTGTTCATATTTTTGTCCCTGTTGCATAATTATGAGAATATTGCTTTTGCAGTAACAGTGAAGCATTAGCGAGCTTAAGCAAACGACGATTTTGTCAACACGGACGTCTGATTGCCAGGGGAGGGGGGGACTGGATTATAAACTGTGCCTTGTATCAGTTTGTGGTAATCTTCAACACATATGACAAAACATAAGATTTTTAAAGTTTTTTTCTTTCTTGAATGCCCAAGCGCTATATGATGCAAAATGCCGCCAAAATGATAATGAAGGCGTGTACGTACTGGACCTTTATAGTGAAAAGTTCTCTCGAACTACTATCAGATACAAGATCAAGTGAGTTTATATTAAGCTTTACGTACCTTTGAAATTTTCTTGCTCATTCTCTCGATGTACTTCACCAAATGTGTACAAAAACTCTTCTCCGATTTCTATCTCACGAGAAGTATCGAACGAAATCTCTCCATTGTCGTTGATGAATGCTTTAATGTTTGCTTTACTCTCATCATTTGAACTGCAGATGTATTTGAACCAGTTGAATTGTGACCCGTATTGGCAAATTAGCTGTTCGTCTATGTATTCTACCTATATAGTGTTGATAAAAAATATATTGTAGAGACGAGAAAGCGTATGCATGCACCACTTTCCCTGGTATCTAAATTGAATTGCATGCATTGCTTTCGTCGGAATCAGGTGGCAAGGAGAAGAAGTTTCACGTAGCAGAACCATGCTGGCATCTTGTACGCTGTACTCCTGTTGTTCATAGCTGGATTAGCGCTAACCTGGGTTAAAATTTAACCCGCTGTTTTGGTTCGTGTACATTTGCACTTCTGTTTATTTCAAAACTTTGAAAAATATAACTTCTATTGATGCAAGCATGAATTGTGGAACTACTTTTACGTTTCTAAACAGGCTATTGGGATGATTTTCGTTAACCTGGGTTGAAGCTAACCAGCTTTTGAACAACCGGCCCCTGTCGTGCTATAATATTGCATGCCAGCCTATATATAATAATAAGTTGTTTGAAGACGTACAGAAAATGTCAGTTTCATACATGCGTGGTTTCAGATTATTACTTGAACATTTTTAAGAGTCAATGAAGAAATTGTCTTTGTTTAATTTAAAATATTTCGCGCTTAGTCTAAGACATTAAGTGTACGTTAAGAGCAATGCAATTCAAACTTCTATCATAAAATTATATTATTTTCCACGATCAAAATATGAGTGGATGCCTTATCACAAATTGTGTATTTATTTGTCATTTATACAATTAACATTATGGCATATTTAATATTGAACGTGTACGTAGCAGAATTGTACAGTATAATGCAGGTAATTGATGCATTTTCTATATTCATTTTATTTTCAAATCATATCATATTACCAGTTGAATCAATCATCTCCTTTCCGTTATGTTGATGCACATACATAGGCTTTAACTGTATCGTTTAACGACGACATATCAAAGATTTGTTCGTGAATTTTTAAAATGTTCTAAATACTTTGAGTCTCTGTAGCTATATTTTTGTTTCATGATGAATTTGTGTTTTTATCACTTATTTTTACCTCGACAAAACCGATCTTCTGATCTTCCAAACTCTTGCTGTTTTGAGATTTTATAAGACGCGGCGGTAGACTTCCAAAAACAACGCCCTTTGGAATCTTCGATGCTGCTCGCACACCAATTTCGAAAAACATGATACTCTCAACAACAATATAGATCTAACTACTCTGTTTCTTAGTCTTCTGTTTCAAGATGGATGCAGCCTCAGAACGTAGATTTGCACTGCCACAGTTGTTCGCTTGTGTGCTCTGACTCGAATGTTGTGCAGGGATTTTGTTTTAATGGCTTTTTGGTCAACAATGCACCTGCCCGAAACAAGTCCTTTTGACTTATTTATATATGCGATAACCTTGATTATGTTATATTCAGCTAATTATTCATTAATCGTAAGCACTAAAGATTACGCGGTGCCATGCTGTTTGAATGCCTATACTCCTTCTTTGAACAGCATTGTTGAGCAATTATATCAGTAAAATGAGAATGAATACAGTTTTGACATACCTCCATTTGTTTTTACGCGAAGACTTGGTTCTCCGAGTGAGCTATTTTAAAAGTCAACATCTTCATTTTAAATAACATTGAATAAGAGGTGGCCATTATGAATTCTTTGCGGTCAAACCTAGTATAATAAACTCATTTTTTTTCTTAATTGACACGTGTTTTTGATGCAACCGCATTTGTTTCTTTCGTTCTTGTCCAAGTAAAATAGACAATGATTCGTCTCGCATATCGAAGGTCCTCGTATATGTTTCCATCTTAACAAAGAGCAATATTGTGTGTACTTGTGTCATGATTTCATAGTGAGAATCACACGCGTTTATGTTCGAAATCGTTAAAAATTAATTGAGTCATGGCTTGTAATTACGTGCGACGGTTCATCCATGCTGTGTGAATGCTTGACATGGTCAGGCATGTACATAAATCTTTTAGCAGCTTGTCATTGTAAGGTCTTCCAAGCAGTGCATAATTGATTTCCTCGGTCAAAGATAAAATGGATTTGGCTTTTTCGCATTTCGAAGTGCAAAACATCAAATCTTGTTTGTCCACAAAAGTGTCGACGCCGATAAGCCCTGACGCCCTGAGATTCAAAGAGAATTAAAAAATAGCGCTAAGAAATTCACTCTTTAATCAAACCTGATAGCAGAAAAGCTCGTCATACGTAAATAAATAAATTGGGGAATACTATTATGAACGTGTTTATGATTTTATTGCGGCTAATATGAAGTTCTAATATACAACGATAATAAGGATTTCTAAATTTTTTTTTAATATACAGTAGTCAATATCGTGTATTTTTCACAGGTACTAATTCCAGTTAGCAATACTATACGTGTTAACATTACCTCTAGTTATTGCCCGTATGCATGTGCACCGCAAATGACTAAGGTTTTGAATTTCCTTATGATGGAGTTAACCGATATTCATTGTTGATCCGTCCTCATGGCCAAGTTTTAAAATGAGCTGTGGCATATGGAATGATGAAAGCTACCTTAGTCTTAGAATATCATGACAATAACTTCTTGTTCAGTCTGCACGCTTTGTGATTGGCCGAGACAACTACCTGGAGTAATCCATTGCGGATTTTCCCAGTAGGTGAAGATATCTAGCATTTCACTAAAATTTCTTCTGCATGGCCAATAAAATAAAAACAATTTGGTTTTTGGCGAAGATCCAAATTGTAGGAAAAGAATGCGTTTTTCACTTTTGTCTCTGTGAGATCACATGTCGGGATCGTCGATTTATTTGTCACTGAATAGCCCCAAAGAGAAGATTGTAATGTAGTATTCTGTTCACAGAATTAACTTAAAGACATGAAAGGAAACGTTTTGAAAGTGTAGTTGAAATTGAATTCAAAAATTTTCAAAAATTCATTTGGGTTATTTTGCTTTGGGCATCATGTTAAAGATTAACTGGTTGTCGTTAAAAGGAATGCTGACATAATTCTAAGGTGGTAAACTTAAGCCCATCTTGTATACCCTGAAAGTTTTCTTTTGTGAAACTTGGGTTATGACATCCAAACATTGAAGAATGTTATAGCCAGAACTTTAAACTTGGTCTGGAATTTTCTTCACCGAATCGCGCTGAGCACATTATTTTATACAGAAAATTAATTTTACGTGCAGTTTTCTATAGCGGTCTTTGCCTTTCCAGTGCGCCTTCTTCGCTGCAAATCATAGGCGGCTTTGCGCTAGTAAGTATATATATATAGGTCATTTGCAGCTGCGCCTGCAGGCGGCAGAATACATTTTGCATAACAATAGAACAAGCGAACGCTTGTGACTTTCTCCTTGCACTCTATATTCGATCCGATTTCTCAATTATATAACTATTATACCTATAGCGGGAAAACCGGTCAATCTTGCTTCGCTAAGGCATGTTTACGTAGCTTTCTATACCCCTTAGGGGAGAAACCATGTTTATTTCAACTGTCCATACATACAGCAGACATATCCTGTATGCACTGTTCTAGTAATGTTTATTATTATATTTTTAGGGTTTTATCAGGTTAGATATGTCGGAATTCCAAGAAAAGCACGAGGTAAGACGTGCAGGATATCAATTCATCACTCGGTAAATAATACAGTCAAGCCTCTCGTAATGTGGTATAATGTGCAACATATATATCCTGGACCTATACCAAAGCCAAGGTGAACTCAGCTACAAGAGGTGCATGCATGCCCTCGCCCGAGAGGCGTCCATGTTGAGGTTCGGCAGCTACAACAAAATCTTCCCATTGTGCCATATAGGGCTCACTTTGTATGGAGGTGAATTGCCCAGCCAGCCGAGTTACTCAGGAACGGATGATCTCGGGTGTTGTAGAAATCAATAGTTTTTCCGGGTGATTGTTTACGTATAATCGTATAACGTACAATCTGGTAACTCGCCTTGCTGAGGTTCCATTGAGAGAGTCGAGGTCTCTCCTATGGGACATGAATAATTTTTCCCATGTACTACTTTCCCAGCATGCATGGGTAACTTGGCAAAGCGAGATAGAGTGCACATACCTTGATTTGAAATATACTGGTTCGACTATATCTTTTCTCAATCATCCGCTTATAAATCGGGCTAATTGTAATACAGGAAAACGTCATTATTTTCCAAGTATATAATTTTGCTGAATAATATTGTAAAAGAAAAAAATGCAGTCTAAACGGCCGCAATAATTTTGTTAAGCTAGACGATTTTATCAACAACTTTTAATCACCCTTTGGGGTTTTTATACCTAAGTGACCAAATTCAATACATCCATCATGTAAACAACATGCAGCCCCTAAAGAGAAAAATCAATTACGATCACGCTCACAAAATCTGCCGCGTGAGTCCACTCAGGGCCGTAGCTATAGGGGGCTGTGACACCCCCCTGAAAACGTCTTTTCGGCAAAATAACGGTTTTATCGGCAAATCGTTTCCGTATAAGCAGCGAAAATATTGGAGTGCATGGTTCGGATGAAAAAGTAATATTATTAGGAAAAATTTGGCTAAATTCACAAAAATTACGCAAAAAGTTAACAAATTTAGATATAAGTTCTTTGTATGATTGCATGGCGATAAAATATATAATAGTTTTGTTTGTGGAATAAATTTACGTGGTGTTTCCACAAACAAAACTATTATAAATTTATATATGTCCGGAAAATTTTTGGTATGTTCGGAAAAATTTTGGTGTATACGGAAAAAAAATTTTGCGATCTCCTTTGGGGAAAAATATTAATTAGCAAATTAATGTCTGCAAATTTGATACTATACCCCCTCCCCCCCTTCTTCCACTATTACATTAAGGATGAGCTGTGAAATAATAGTCCTGATATAGCTTTCACATTAAGTCCAACTGTATTCATTTTTGTAAATGTCAGGTAGCGAAGATGATCGGTTCACCTCCTGGGTACATAGGACATGAACAAGGAGGTCAGCTGACAAAAGCTCTACGGGAATGTCCTAATGCTGTTGTTCTCTTTGATGAGGTATTAAACTTTGAAATACTTATAGTTTGATCACATGAATGTATGTTATCCGACTATACGCCAAACAACCGAACGATAAACCAACAGAGCGACTGACTGATTTAATCGATTGACTGGCTGATTGTCTGGCTGAACGATTGATGACTGCCTGACTGATTGATTGTTTTATTGCCGATATTTAGGTTGATAAGGCTCATCCTGACGTGCTCACGATTATGCTACAATTATTTGACGAGGTTTGCTTCTGTAACTCTATACTATAATTGTTAGGAGCTAAATTCTAAACGTTGTGTGAAAGCATCCTTGGTGTTAGCATGGATTATTATAATAGACTATTATGGTCTATTAATATTCATTGGTGTTTATATATAGTTAGCTTCTAATTGTTTACCTATACCGGGTGGCCCAAAAAAAAGTACTCCTGTTTGATTCGTAATAACATCTAAACAAGTATAGCTTTTAAAGAGAAATAACTTGCATCAAATAGAGGAAGGACTAACTTAGACTTTGATATATTACAGTTGTATTTCACTTAAAAATTCACGGAGATATTAATCTTTAAATTGGGGAGGATATTTCTGGATGTGTCTGAAATATGCAAAAATCGGCGTATCAAATATTAATCAAGATTTGCCCGACTGAAACATGCACTATTACCAGTAAATAAATGACACTTGACAAATTGCTTATTATGAAACAAAGTATTATTATATCTACAAAATACAAGCAAGATTCATTCGTCCGAAATTCGCGTGTGTTCCTAGCACGAATACGTTTCCTTATTTCATGAGACCACTGCATCGCGAAGGATCGTCATTGGATCGTTCGTAGTTCTGAATTAGGGCATGCTGTCACAACGGAATTGTGAAGCTCTTCTAACTTCTGCAACGTTCTGAAATCTTGTTAAGAACACCCAAACTCTTTTGCCGTTTCTTAATCTTGGCAAGTTCATGGAGTAAACTGAGAATTATATGAAACACAATCAAACCATACAACTCCATAAGACATAACAATTAAGCAACTCCCCAGAGACATGCAACATTTTTGGAACAAAACGTAACAAAATAGTAGCGTTGATACGGTGATGTGTATTTGCAAAAAGCAATACCAATAGTAGCGTTGATACGGTGATGTGTATTTGCAAAAAGCAATATTATTTCCTTCAATAAAGAATATTCATCCTGCTCTAGCCGAGAAATAATCTACTCAGTCTGTTTGAACCCATTAAAAACATAAAAAAATTAGGCTATTTAAGAATACGAAAAATTTAAGCGCCTGCCTTCCATGGTCAGTCTTTCATGTACATTTAAGTTTGCAAAGATCTAATATTAAATACTTGCATAATTTGGAACGTTCATATTTCAGGAAACAATGAGCTAAGACTTACATGTAAGATGTCTAAATCTACGCCATATCCCTTACAAACCTTAACGATAATTCGCTGAAATACAAGTTAGCCTAATATGTCATTAAGCAAACAAACGCTGGAGTTAATATTGATATGCCGATTTTCGCTAATTTTAGACACATTCCAAAATATGCTCCCCATTTTTAACATTAATATCTCCGTGAATTTTTAAGTTAAATACAACTGTAATATATCAAAATCTAAGTTAGTCCTTCCTCTATTTAATGCAAGTTATTTCTCTTTAAAAACTTTACTTGTTTAGAAGTTATTACGAATCAAACAGGAGTACCTTTTTTTGGGCCACCCGGTAGAATTTCTTATTTTTGCAAACTCTACTGACTCTTCTTTCTGCGACTAAATAGGTAGACGGAAACCGATATATTATTTCTATAGAGGTTTATATACCCCATCTATCACATATATTCTCTCTTTCCATGCAGTAAAAATGTAACCTGTCCTTTGATTTCTTTCGTATAGGGACGGCTGACTGATGGCCAAGGTGAAACGATCCAGTGCAAGGATGCTATTTTCGTGATGACCTCAAATCTAGCAAGCAATGAAATCGCTAAACATGGTTTAAAACTTCGGAAAGAAGCCCGCAAAGTGATCGAGGAACGAGAAGCAAAAACTGCAGGTAACGTGATTATAAATAAACCCTTATATGCGAAGTTTCGCTCATACAATGAATTATTTTAGTAAGTAACTATTTCAAAGAGAAACTTGGCAACTTTTAAATGGAAAATGAGGGAGATTATACAATTACTCTTATGGTTTCCGTGTTTGGATGGCCTGATCCAAACACGCGGGAATGTTGCGAGAGTTAAGAAAAGCGCGCGAACGAGCCGAAATTTATTTAGTAGTTGTTTTATAAAATAACAACTTTCCGTGTTAAAATTTCACTTTAAAAAAACTTCCACTTTAAATTTCCGTGTTTGGATGGCCTTATCCAAACACGGGTTTCGACCAATCAGAGCACGAATTATATTATGTTATTTTATAATTATAAATGATGGACGGATGGAACATTGGAATTTTTGAGACCGTTTTCGAGTTTTCAATGGTGAACATGCAGCTCCGTATCACTTACCTCATCTAGTAACAGTTGTGTACGATGCACGCAGACTTATTTTTCAGAGGTTTTGGGTATTTTGAATATAAATTTATCAAACAACGTGTTAATATGGTAGATTTTGTCGGAGAATGAGTGTCCGGTATTAAACTGCACATTTCTTGTTACATTGTAGATGGGAAATCTGAGATTGAGTTGTCTTCCGAACATATCGAAATTTCAAGAAAATTCAAAGAGGAAGTTGTCCAACCAATTCTAAAGGTATTAAAATAATCAGAACATGCAACCTTCAGAAAAACACCTGAATGTGCATGGAGAACATTCACTGTAAGAATAATTAAGATTCTGAACAATTTATCCATTGGATCGTGGATCAATTATTTACTTCTACATGCAAACGTGAAATCAAAGCTACATGGCCTCCAGACCCACTTGCTCTAGCCTGGAGTGTTGTTGCCCATATTGTAACTTTGTCCGGCTCCCGATGTGAAATTTCTTCTTGACATTTTCAAATACTGCATTTTATTTATATATATTAGCTATGTATTATACAGTCAAAATTCCCACTTCCTCTATATAATCTGCTGTCATTTCGCTGCTGTATTTTGTTCTGTATTACTGCATAGCGGTTGCTGAATTATGGAGAAATACAGCGATATAATTTAGTTTTCTTTACTTTTGTATATAATTTACAATAATGGTAACAAAGGATGCATTTTTCGTTAGATTCATTGCATGTTAACATAAAAGTTGCAAAATATAACATTTATTGCCGTATTTTCCTATGATATGATAACCGCCACAGCAATACAGAACAAGATACAGTAAATGACAACATACTATATACATGTGGAAGTGGAAATTTTCTTGTATTTTGACTGTAAAACTGATTTTGTACTATCCTTTCTAGTTTCATTTTAAAAGAGACGAATTTCTTGGACGTATCAATGAGATCGTCTATTTTCTTCCATTTTCTCAAAGCGAGTTATTGAAACTTGTTGAAAAGGAAATGCAGTACTGGAGCAAAAGGGTAAAAGTGATATCATTTGTGTAATACTATAAATGATGGTAATGTAAACGTTTAAGAAAACGTCGGATTGATAGGAATGCGACCAGGGCCGTAGCGAAGAGGCTAAGGTGGTGGTGGTGGGGGTTACCGTAATTTGTTAAAGACCATGTCAAGTCCGTAATGTAAACAAACGCTTTGTTTACATATTGAACTCAGTGCTACAGTTGTAAAATAAGATTAGATATATATTATACAGAATTTTTAACACTTTTCTGGTTCGCTATGCTTCTAAATGAATAGAGACTAGAGATTCAATTCAAGAAAGTTCAAAAGTTACGAAATATTAATAACATTCCAACGGTCGGGTCCCGACCATTGGAATGTAAGCCTGCGCAGAACGTATGCGCAGAACGGACTTTACATGGTCTTTAAATTTTTCGGTAACATTTTCGTAAATTTATCATCATTTTTGCTATAACTATTACTTTGTAGTCAGAGCCACTCAAATATTTTCGCTGATTACGAAAACAATTTGCCGATAAATCCTTTATTTTGCCGACAAGATGTCGACGGCCCTGGATGCAACTACCTGGAAAATATACATGGAGAACGTCGAATTTCCGAGCTTCCCGACGAATTGGGCCTTCGCTCGAAACGTTCAAGTTTTCTTTGTATTTTTCTGGTAGTTGTATCCCTATCAGTCCCAAGTGTTCTTATCATTGGCACTATCCACACTGGCACAAACCGTTCAAGATTGTAAACATTTAGTTAATAATCTAGTATAAGTTTGCACGCTTGGCATGTGATGAGTGAAGATTGTTGTTCTCAAGCTTTATTACTCAAAAAGTTTAGTCCCGCTCGGGGACTCAGGAGTATTTTTTGGGTAAGTGATTTGTTACAATCCACTTGTATTGTAGAACTCGGGTATAGTTTTGCAAATGTTCTGCATGTTTGAGATATTAATTGTTATTTTTGGTCAAATTTTTTACCCTTTTTAGCCATTCCGAAGTTGATGAATGGACTGGGGACGAGTGCTAAAAAGTACCCAAATTAAGAAATGAACCAAATCACCGAAACGACCACCTCAAAATTAGTAAGTATACAAAGTTTGAAGACGTTTACATGAATACCCTTCGAATAATAATCTTTCGGAAATTGTGAAATTACTGATTAAGGTTACAGGACACCTTTTTTGGCGTTTTGCGGAAAATCGCTACTGCGCGCTCAATATCAGTCCGATTTTCATCAAATTTTCACCAAATGTTCTCCAGTGCATGCAAAATATGGTAAAGTTGTAAAATTAACAAACAATAAAATAATGTAAGAATTATTCAGGAAAATCTTAAATCGCGGTACCGTTACGCTTTTGAGTTATGTTCCTGCTGGTTTTAAGTTATATTTATGAAAATATAATTTTTATACAGTAAAATAGTTGTTCTAAAAAATCGTGTTCGGAAATTTTTGTTTATTTCGTCATTCCGCTGATATGGCGATTTCTTTGACGACTGCAATATATTTCTGAATTGTTTTAGTAAATTGCTCTTTATTTTTAAAATATTCAAAATTAAAGAAAGGCCGAACACGATTTTGAAACTGACGTCTTTAGCTATGCCCTGTGAAAATTTGAGAAAAATTGGTTAAAACCCGCGGGAGCATAACTCGTTTGAAAATCAGTAATTACCGTAAAATTTTTCGGGAGAAAATTGAATTTGAATATTACATTTTCAATGTTTTTCTTATTGCAGCGAAATGTATTTTATTAAATAACTCTGCGAGTTTTCAACATTTTCCGTTCAAACTTGGTCAGATAGTAGAACTAGTCTAATGCTTTCATGGAAACCAATAAAAAAATTTTAGGCAAAATTAACACTCAAAGGTGTTCTGTAACCTTAAAAGACTGTTTTGGGGACGCGCGTCCCCCCAACAAAAATTACAGTACATTTCACAGTAAATATCGAAAGCTTATTATTCGAAGGGTATTCATGTAAACGTCTTCAAACTTTGTATACTTACTAATTTTGAGGTGGTCTTTTTAATGATTTGGTTCATTTCTTAATTTGGGCACTTTTAGCACTCGTTCCCAGTCCTGTTATCAACTTCGGAATGGCTAATTACATTGCGCTTGTCGTGGACGTCTTCAAGACTGTAGGGAGCTTAAGCATGCAAGACGGCAACACGAGGACGACGGCCAAAACAAATTCCTTCAAATAAATTATAGTAAAGAAAACTTGTCGTATATTATAATTCGTATGAATTTATTACAGTATAAGAAGCTGAAAACATTGACTTTATGTTCGTGAAGAGCTATATTGACCGAATTTTAAGTTGCACTTGTTACGCCTTGAAATGCAGGCGTTGTATAAAAGACGTGAAAATCTGTGATTTGCCGTTGTAAACAGAGCGACGACCACGTCTGAAACTCCCCTGGGACTTTAATTATTTATTCACTTTTCACTGACTCATTGTATTGGTTGCCGTCGTCGTCGTGTTGCCGTCCTACTTAAGCTCCCTTGTGCTTTCACGACGTCGCCTTTGCAAGGAACAAATTTGTGTAAAAGATGCAGTATAAACTGTTCGCCATATTAATTTCAGCTGTTGGTTTATTGAGGAGCTGCAAAAGTGAACGGAAATTTTTCGATTTATATTTCAGGCATTACAGCGTCATGACATTCACTTGAGCTGGGATAAGGAAGTTTTGGCTTGCATGACTGATGGTTACGATGTTCACTATGGAGCAAGATCACTAAAATACGAGGTAAGATACCGCGATGATTGCTGGGCCTAAATTCACACATCATGCCGAGACATTTATCCAGGCGGCCGTCCAACCGTCCTATGGATGGCCACTTTTTTAGACAGCTAATTCTGAATAAATGGCCATGAACGGACTGAGAAACAGCAACTCGCAAGCTTTGCAATATTTCTTGAATACCTTAAATACGTTTGTCACTTATGTCGACACTGAATGATGAGTATATGACAATTGATTTCAAGTGCTATGATATGCCACCCCCACGGTATTTTTGGCGACCATGCAGCTTTGACACTCTGGCTAAAAGCCTGACAGCATGCACATTTATACATTTTTTAGGGTTTTTCGTAACTGAAAATATATAGCTGAATAACATGAATCTACAAAACTCGTATATAGCATCTCCCTCCTCCCCTAGCTCTTTCACACTTTTTAACCTTCTCAAACTGTATATAATTCATCCAATGCATTGTTGATAGAAGGCATGATTTTACATACAATTACAAAATTATTTCAATTCGTTTGTTTGGCGCCCTTGATTACGTGGGGTGTGGGGGGGGGGGGGGGGGGGGGGGGGGGGGGTGCAAACAACTTTTAATACATGCAGTTGTATATTTGTGAAAGAAGCACTCTGTTAATAAATAATTAACAATTTGAGTAGCATGTTATTTATAATTTAAAGCTTATAAAGATGCTTAAAACAAATATAAGTAAAGTTATTAGGTAGGTGTACATGATAAAGAAAATATCATCAGTGATATATAGCGTGGTTTTTCTAAAACTTCTAGAGAAAAGGAATGAATGCTTTCATCATACTAGACAGCATTTATTAATGCCTCGCGGATGCACCGTTTAGATAACACGACTATTTCACAATCTATTTTCAGGTTGAAAGAAAAATAGTGAATCAGATAGCGGCAGCACATGAACAGGACATGATATGCAGTGGGGATGCATTGCATGTGACTGTCAAATACGATCATAACGAAGATCGAACTGTAGTATCACCAAAGATAGTTCTTGAAGTTATTGAAAATGATAAAGAAAAGAGAAGGATTGAAGTGGGTGATTATTATTCACCAGAACATACTGCACTTTTTTGATCAGAACATGTGAGGTGGGGATGGTTATACAATATGGAATGTACTTATATACATCCTAGCTCCCGGGCACTGCCAGGATTCTACACAAGGCTGGGAATAATCCTCACAGAGTAGCTGCTCCACGTTAGCCAGCGAATACGGCCGCCTGATTCCATATCCTTTTTGCGCTAGTGAAGAGACAGACCAGGGTCATGACGATGTCATTGTGAACCATGTTGTTAAATCTTGCAATAAATCCTTGAATGATGGGAATTTAATGAGTTTGATGTTGGATCAGGTTCGACTTCATTCAAAATTTTCATCCAACATTGATGGACCAACAATGATTGTAAAGGGGCTTCACACTATTTTTAAATATTAAAATCTTTACGGACTGCAGAGATACAGGAAATTGACACCGATGTCCATTTTCAATATTTATTCTGATAAATATACGTGTAGCTTTACATAAACAGAACAAAACAGCCAAAGAGTATTTTTGAATACAGAAATTGAGATATCTACTTGAACAATTGTTTCTACTACTGCACGGTTAAAGACTGGAACGTTCGTGGAGTATGATTATTCGAAGCCAAAATTTGTACTTTTGAAGGCTGATTATACATGAGGATTTTTCAGCTCCGGTGGTTTCTTAATGTTTTGACAAGAAACAAATTATCTTTCCACATTTCCATACATATAAACAACCGGGCTTAAAAGTATCCAATGCAATTAGCCTCTTATTAACGGAAGATTGTTTCGTGATAGTCGTGCATTGTGGTAACGATCGAATGATGTTTCATAAAATTCATTATTAGTCATTTTAAGATAAAGTTTACAGAGCTTCAATTGCCGTGGGAGGACTGAAGATGATAATTCTTAATTGGCTTCGAATATCTTTTTCGAGGTTGTGTTCCAGGTCATTTTGAGTTCAATTATATCTTAGTTTTGGTAATATTAGAATGCATTAACGGTTATATTTCCCATCTTGGTTGACAGTTAAAGATAACTAAACATCAAATAATATGATGGTAAATATTGTAGGTAATGTAGTGTATTTATCAAGCCTTTAGTAATGCGTGTACAACAGCTTTCGCATTCAAATTTCTTAGATCAGTATAGGTTTGGCCAGTTCCAACAAATACAATTGGCTGTCCTGTTGTGTATGTCATAGATATAGCGGCACCAACCTAAAACAACAAAGTGAACAAAGAGGTTGTAGTGAAGGATCAAACCTTGTATGGTTTGTGATTGGTTGACTATAAGAATGAAAAATAATAAAACTATGAAATAAATTATCTTGGCGAGCTTCTCCAACGAGCAATTGGGACATGTGTCCTGTATCAAACTCCCGCCAGTTGTAATGTTTTGTATTATTTCATTACAAATAACGGTTGTTGATACTTTAAAATTTATACAAATTAACCAAAATCCACCATACCTTGTCATCGATAGTATCAAACTTCGTAAGCAAGATGCCATCAATCAATCGTGGATTTTCTTGAGAAGAAAAGTCCGCTAAAGCTTGGTTAAATTTACTGAGCTGATCTACAGCTTCATTTCCGACCAAAGCTTCTCCAACGAACAAGATCAAATCTGGATCATTTATTCGGATAAGCTGGAAAGAAAAATAAACATGGTAGGATGTGGACACATCATGAACGAGACAAAATCGTGGGTACGGATGGAGCATTTATTTTGGCTTCAACACTTCCAAATTATCCTGCTTTCAATCAAAACGGGATCATAGAACCACATCCTCAAAATATGTACACTAGTACTGTACCTTGGATAATGATCGCATGAGTGGCTCGTTGTCCTGCATACGGCCAGCTGTGTCAATTAATACGACGTCAAAACGTTGCTCACGAGCTGCAAGAAAATTAAGGATATTGTTTAGAATAATGAGTTCAATGCAACTGCAGTCTATTGTTTCAGGAATAAGGGAAATAATAAAATGAAGATGTTGTGCATTTGAGTTGTTCAATCTATCGATTAGTTGTTGTTTTGAAACATCGTCAGTACTTTCATTATAAGAAGATATCTTGGTTTATACTGTATTGGTCGGCACATGGTTTGGTAACAATTACTGTATGCAGGGAAGGTGGATGACAAATGGATTATACAGTAATGCTTTCATTACATACTATACTATGCTTTCTGACAGTTATCGTGGTTCCTACACTATATGTAATTATCATTGTGCACTCTCTTACAGTGCAAGTACATTACAAACGTGTATATAGAATGTTACAATATCGCCTTTATCACCCATTACACACAATACCCAAAGTCGTAGCAATCACGTCCTCACAAATAGCGAGGGTATACTTTTTAAGACCGAGACACACCGGACGTGATTCGACAACGTGGCGCGATTTTTCGACTTTCACTGACCGATAACTTTGATCCTGGTTTAAGGTTTCCAAATATTTTGAATTGCTATAACATTTTGAGTTATTTGGTCTACATGTCTTTTAAAATTTCCTTTCATTATCTGTTTTATTAACTTTAAAAAACAGAAAAATCGCGCCGCGTTGTCGAATCGCGCCCGGTGTGTCTCGGCCTTACCCTGGGCACGAGCTATATACAGTATACTCACCAAAATTGACAGCGTCCATTGCGATGGATGCAGCATCTTTTCCATAACCACGTTCATAAAGCATGACTGATGGTAATCCGTTGGCTTGTTGGGGTGGATGAAGTGAGTTCAGTTTCCGGACATGAGTACGCAGTTGTTCTACTGCACCAGCACGGAATGTATCACATGCCGCTATCATCACGCGAAGTTTATTCTCCAACAACCAGAAACAAATCTAGAGAAAATGGTGTTTAATTAATTATAAACTAACGAAGTATTTCATCCTGACAATCACATAATACAGGGTGTATATGGATATCGGAATTGAATATTCAGAGTCTTAGATCACGTATAACTAAGTGTGGCTGACGAAGAATTACTAAGTTCTAGACGAAACCGTTGACCCTGTAATGCTGCACCTGTAATGCCAGTTTACACAATAAGCCGACATGTTTTAACACACCCAAAGACAACAAAGAAATAAAATTAGGGAAGAGCCTGGGAACGAGGTTGATAAAATTAATGAGTGTTAAAAATATCAGCGAAGTGAAATGCATACCATGCTCACCGTTTCTCTAAGTATACAATCATGTAAATAACATGGCTCTGTTTTGCAATGCAGTATACAGTATACAGTAAATCACATGGTGTAACCACAGTTAGTGGTGTAACGCACAGTACATTACTTAGCCATTATTTAGAAAGTCGAGAAAGTTTAATTCCTCTAGAACTGGCCACTGTGGGGCCAGCGAAGCTGCAGCATAAAGAATTCAGAAGTTTTATATACAGGGTGTATCAATAAAAGCGCAACCTCGGAATTTCCTAAGAAATCACTTTGCAATTCTTAAGCATAAAAGATTTTAGGCCCCTGGGAATTGAAATCGAATTGCTAATAGATCATATTACTGTTGTTGTGCATTAAATAAATGCATAAATTTTGTTTTATGCACTCGCGTGTGCAGTAATTTTGACAGTTATGCTATTTTAAATTCCCAGGCGCCTAAAATCTTTTGTCTTTAAAACAATGTCGATTTCTTGGGAAATTCCGAGGTTGCGCTTTTTTTGATACACCCTGTATTATCATATCGTTCTCAATTCGCAAGGGGATAGAGAACAATGGTCTACTTACCCCGAAACAATAGGAAGCGGATTAGTGTGGACGTATCACGCAAGTACCAAGCATGTCAAGCCTTTATACAATTCTAACCACAGTGAAATCGTCGATTTTATAAAACAAACAAGCGCTCACCTTTGCGAGATTAGTAGACTTTCCAACACCGTTTACTCCACAGAACGTGACGGAATATGGTCGACCCCGACGTTGGGCTGCTATTGCGTCACGTAGAATGTCCACACGACGTTGTGGAGATAAAATCTGCACAAGTGATTCTTCCAATCCTGACTTGACAGTCGACGATACACCTAGGAAAAAAAACACGACGGTTTAATGCAGCCTAGACCCTTAACTCGGCAGGCGGCACTTGATTTGCAAGTTGTACAATGCTAGCTAGCGGACAAAGAATACAGGCTTCTGTTTCAACAATATATTGTTCAAATATTAAATACAGAAAACAGACATGAGGGCAAATTCCGGAAACAAGCGAACGTCTTCTCGTTCGAAACCACGATACTTCATGCTTTTAGTTCTCTTCAGCCGTACTTACACGAAGGACTGATCCAAGGTTTACCTGTACTAGCATGCGGTGTAGACGCATGCCCGCAACGTTATCACTGCATTTCCCACGGGAGTGATAACGTTGCGGGAATGCAGGCTGTACCAGCACTTGAGAGGTATAACGAAGGTCTGGCATGGTATCTTTACAGTAGATAACTTACTTCGAGTACTACAAATTCGACAATTACATGCAAAGTGTTGATATCAGATATCAGCAGCTTAGTGAGCCACTAATCTAATAGTAGATCAGTGAGTGGGCCAGTGAAAACGAAATGTATAAAAACCCTGTACTGTGGCACTTACTCGCAAATGTCCCCAGAACTTTGCCTTCTAGTTTTGTGGCCACACTGTTGCACAGCTTCTCAGCGATATCCGAAGCAACGTTTTTGGCTGAAATAAAACATAAGTGACCATGGACAGAACTCAATAAATGCTAGGAGCAGTATATATACGTACAATACTTTTTGGTTCAGGAAACAATGCATGCATACATCAGCAATATTAATAAGGCATCGCTATCATTAAACATGAAGGCAAGAGAGAGAATTTTAGAGGCTGGTACAGGTTGAACAAAAAGTGAATTTATATTTTTGTATTGAATGACACCTTTATATGTACAATAATTAACGATAGTTTCGATAATTCAGCGATTGGAGATATCACTTCAACCAAATACTAGAATGTACACATTGTCGAATCGAAATTATTGCGAGCGAATATACATGTATATCGCCCCTGTTTTGTATGTCATGCACCAGTAACAACTTATACCAACCGATCAAATGTTCTCTCATTTTCTCAAGAACTGGTTCCACAGATTCTCTTGTCAAGGTTTTCTGGCTCGCAAGTCCTTTGAACCAAGCAAACACGCCACCAGAATCCTTGCTCGTTTTATCACTACAAACATACAAACGACTTTCAGTTTCTACTTCATATAACACCTATAAACGTCAAATAAAACATCAGTCCGAATGGAACAGAAGCATTGTCTGCATTCAGGTTTTGAGTAGTGCATGAAAACTGTACATAACTATCACTTTATTTGTTTCCTAAAATTATCATGCAATGATGCAGTTGGAAACATTCTCTTCTGGAGAAGGCAGTCGCGCTTTTTATTACAATCTTGCTTTTTATTAGAATCTTTTTATTAATGGAGTCTTTCCCGATCGTGTAATACTATAATGAAACAGCTCGACAACTGCTTCAACAAAACTTCCTGTTAGACTGATAAAAAAGCTCGGCAACCCTTTTCGGAGACAACTGAGCTGTAACTCAAACTTCCCTGATTGTTATCAAATTTGTTATCAATATTAAAAAAATAAAAGTCTCAGTTTTGGTAAAACGAGAAAGAACGCGATTAGTGCTTTTCAAAGGTTGCTGCGAATCGAGAGCCGGAGATACAACTACCTGAAAAATATTGTATACAACACATGTAAACAGGATTTGGAAGTGTCATATTTCATCAACATCTCCACCACTGTTACCTGTGTTGAAACATATTGTACCTTGAAGATTTGGTGTCATTTTCCAATCCATTCTCATGAACATCAATCTCTTCATCGGAATCAGTCTCATAATCCATCGGTTTAAGTTCACCTCCCATTGTGCCAACAAATGACCTCTGTTTGGAAATAATGCTGATGTTGACTATTGATATACATGTACGCATATAATTTCATGTATATAAGGTGGTTAATTTAAAAGAATAAGAAATCTGTGTAAGGAATGCCATATATAACGGCGCAACGTTAAAAATTAATAAATATTTAAAAATTAATTAATGCACTGTATAATAATATACAGAACTTGTGTTGGTAGAAATGATTTGACCTAATAATAATGCTATATTGTCACTATAATGATATATTGGACACAAAGTTAACCAAGATTGCACTTTTAATATTTTTTGTGTTTGCACTTCTTCCGCGTGGACCAATACTCAATAGGGAGTTTGATTAATTGATTTTTAGAACGTTTTTGTTGATGCTGCATGCACATTCGATTTTAACTAGACCCGCGTTTTTAGAAACACTTCTTCACATTTAGTTCTTAGTTTACCACACCGCACCCCGCTTTATTCGAAGTCTTGGTATACTGTACCATATTCTGTACTTCTTCTGTTTCATCGTTCCTCATGCTAGACGCATCTTCACCATTTGTACCACTGTAATCCAGAGTACCTGCTTCTTTGTTTGTGCCGCCATTCTGCCAAACACGTGCTTCTTTCTTACGTTCTTTCTTTGCAGATGGTGACCCTTTCCTGGAAAACACAATACAGTTAAGGCTAATTTCCACTCCGGAAAATAAGCAGCGGATCGGACCGGAGGTTTTTCCGATCCAGTCCGATCCAGCAAGCGATTTCCAGTAAAAGCTAGTTTCCACTCAGGAAAATTATCCGTGGATTGGAATGGACAAGAAAATATTTCTTTGTGTTAAAGTCATTAGTTCCAACTCAGAGCTCGCAAGACAAAGAAAAACTTTCTTGTCCGTTCCAATCCACGGATAATTTTCCTGAGTGGAAACTAGCCTTTAGTACATGTATTTGCATAGCGTCGATAAGTTAATAGCCGGAGTATATTATTATACTTTATTAAATCATCGCTCTTCCATCACGTATGCGCGAAAATAACATGGACGTCAGCTCAACAATTTTACGTCGGCTCAACAATCACTGCTAAACGCTAAACATTTGCATGGTTCTGGGAACAATTTGTGCCTGATATTCTCCAGATAGCTCAGCTGATGCCGGATAGTTAGATAAAATGAACAATGTACGCTGGGATACATGCAGTTCGGTTTTGACGAATGCTCCCAGCCTAGACCTATACAATCCTGGACAACACATCTGCGATACTTCCAATTATTTGAACAACTTTCATAAAATTATCGCAAATTTAGAAAACCCTCCCACTTACCCCCACCATTCAATGCTGATTGCATTCCCAGAAAACGGTTAAAGCAATTGTAATATGTCCAACATTGTTTCGTGGGGAATATTTTAATACGAATGTTTTAATATAGTGTCGCTGATGGTTTTGACCAGGGTTGCAGGACCTTTAAGGCCCATTTACACGATACGACTATAGTCGTATACGCGATTGTCATTCTGGCGTATGAAATTGTTGGGCAATTAAGTTACAAATGATACAATAAGATGTAATGAACCAATGAAAACTAAGACAAATACGCACTTAGTTATCATTTCATATCTTGTCCGGTATAGTAGTACAGTACTGTATATTCGCCCGGGTGATACGTCATGCTTATGCCCTTCGTCTTCGGCGTAATGCCGCGCAATTCTCGTGTAATTTAAACTCTTGGTTTCCTTTGTCCCATTCTGTGCTTAAAGCAGGGTTCGTACATGTCAGGAAGAGTCAAATTCAAGGACTTTTCAAGGACATTCAAGGCCATGTATCAGCAAATTCAAGGACTAAATACTGAAGGGAAGGCGTTAGAAATCAGCAAAATCTGACGTTGAATTGTTCAAAACGTAACTTTATAATGAGGTCAGATATGAACACGCAATATCAGTTCAACAAAATGTTCGTTTTGAATGTCAAACAATTTCAGAAAATATCCAAAAACTAAAGCAAGAAGAATTCAAGGACATTCAAGTACTTCTTTACGAAAATATCCAAAAACTAAAGCAAGAAAAAATTCAAGGACATTCAAGTACTTCTTTACAAATTCAAGGACATTCAAGGCCTTGAATTTTTGTTTTCAAATTCAAGGACATTCAAGGACTTTCAAGTTTTGTACGAACCCTGTTAAAGTGTCTGAACAGAGGTGACCAAGTTTTGTACGAACCCTGTTAAAGTGTCTGAACAGAGGTGACTGTCAGAAATGTGAGTTACCCAAAATATGGGTAGGTCCATTGGTTTTCTTAATTGATTAGGTTAATTATAGAACGAAACTTAACTTCAATCATCTTAAATGATTTGAAGCAAGTGTAAAGCATACAATATTATATGAAAAACAATAATCACAAACCCTGCAGAAGTGACTTTAGGGCTTTTGCCAGCCATTTTCTTCATCATTCTTTCACGGTTCTTGTGTATCATTTCATCTGTGCTGTCGTCATTCACAGGGGTTGGAGTGCTAGTAGAAACTGCTGTGGGAGTAGGGGCAGCAGTACTACTCTTGTCAGATGACGTTCCTGTCAAAAAAATAACTAAAGTATAGACAGACTATAAAAATGCAGGAATTACATTTTAGTTAACGTAAAATGAAGAAATGTTTACTTAGTAGAAATATCTTATCAATCGCTTTATATCCTACTGTTAGTATCAGTTTCCTTTTATAACAGCTGAATGTATTATACGTATAACGTATTATGTGAGTAGGTCTATTGAACCTCTTTTGTAAAAACTCGGATGCAATATTTGCATTACTTTTAATATGCGATATTTGCATTACTCTTCAATTGGGCGACTAAAAAATATTTAAGATTTCAGCCCCTGAGTACAACTATTACCTGTTTTTGTTTTATTTTTTTCAGTTTTTGCCTCTTCTTTCTTTGGATCAATTTTCATGGATGCAACTGTTTTTTGAGATTTCTTTGACTCTTCAAAAGTTCGCATTTTCTTTGGTGCTTTTGACTCCAGTTTGGCGGAGCTTTCCAGTTCTTTTAGTATAAAATTAAAATTTTCGCCAAACTCAAAATTTCTCATCTCGCCTTTTTCCAAATCATCTTTGTATTTATCACGGAACGCAAGTTGCATTTCAGTAAGAAGTTTATCGACGTAAGATAACTGAAGGTTCTTTTGATAGGCAACCTTGAAAATGAATAAACGTTAATATTATACGGCTCCATACTGTAAGTGTCCAATCAGAAAGGTAAGTTTGCCACGTGAGCATGAAATTTAGGCGTAAAAAAATACCTGTGGTTCCGGTTTCATATCGTGAAAAAATTAGGATCGGTAGGTCGGAATTTTTTTTTTTTTTTAAATATTTTTTCATGGTTTTGGCGTTTTTTTGCTGGGCGATTTGCAGTAGTGTCCCGACATCAATATTAACTAGGGATGCGTATTTCCTAGCTATGGACGAAGTTAGGCAATTTGGTTCAATAATTAGTGTGACAACAGACGCCATTTTGACACGCTGTATGAGCAGCCCACAACCACCTGGAGAAAATAGGGTTGCACAGTCAATCGCGTTGAAAAAATAATAGGGTCATCAGAAAAAAATAGTCGGATTCGGTCGGGAACCGGAACCACAGGTATTTTTTTTACGCCTTATCATGGAATCATGCCTTACGTCATCATTTTTGACATACTGTAGCATGTGATTTCAATCATATTACACGGGGTGGTTTCATCATATCACCCGGGTGATTTGATTTGTGTAAACCACGCGCAGTGATCATGCAAACAAGGTGGCCGACAAAATATACTGTACTAAGGACTTTTTCAAACTTGAAAGAAAGCTATTTTTTTAAATTAAGAAGCAAATTTTGAAAAATGTTATATCATCAATATTCCAAACATGTGATTCGAAATAAAAGTGAAAAATACTTGCGTTAATAAAAAATAGAACATCATATTCACAAAGGTTAGGCATGTGGGAAGTTTTATATTCTCAACTTGGAGGCTTTTAATTTTTGATATTAAATATCATTTATAAACCCTCTGCTCGGGGAAAGTCCCTTGGGAAATAATCATCACTTTGGGTAATATTTCGCTGAATCCCCTCGCCCCAGGTAAATGATAAATAACCTCATTCCCATGCTCCCTCTTCTACAGATCATAGATAACATCAAATGGTGTGTAAATCTCTTTTCGCTAATCTTCAAGTCCCAGAAATTCTCAGTCCCAGATTAGTTGAGCTAGTGTAATTTCTTTATTATTGTACTATATAATATAATTAGATATAGTTACCATTTTGGTCTTAAGACATGGTAAAAACATCAGTGAAACCCACTTAGCCTGTGATGAGCCATGTTTATGTTAAATCTTTCTTTGGTATCAATATTGTCAATAAATGTTTTGAACTTTTTTGCAATATGCAATTAAGTTAACACACATGATGCAAAGCAAAATTACGTGGTACTAGGCATTATTGAGTACCCGGTACTCAGATGTGTTTGAATATCTTAAATGACCCTTGTTGAATGGCTTGTTCACTCGTACATAATGATATTATGTTAATTTATTTAGTCAATTTATTTAGCTACCGGTAACCCATTAAGCTGCAGAACTTCCCCATGGACAAGTGAAATCGTCTGGCGATCACTAATTGTCTAATGACAAGTAAAAAATATAAGTAGGGCTTTGGCATTCGGTTAGCAAACTTAGCTGTCCAGCAGGGTCTTAGCTAGAGGGCCGTGTTGGCCGTGTTATCGCGGCCAAAAATGGAAAAACACGGCTAGATAAAATGAACGCGGCTTTATTATTTATATAAGGCCGTGTAGGTTCATAAAATAACGTGTTGCTACTTACAACAGACAGAATTTCTTCCTATTTACGTCGTAAGAAAGATTGTAAATCTACTGTTGTTGTTGAATTTGGCCATCCGTGATGTTTTGATGGATAATGGGAATGGTGTTAAAATGGCTTTAAATACCTTATACTATTAAATAATTATAAAAATTATAAAATAACTTATACTATTTTAATGTCAGTACGCAGTGTGAGCGTATAGCCTTGTATTTGGTTGCAACTCATACAACAACCACAGGCATTGTCTGTTGCTGGCAAGCATAACTAGAACCGTGAATTTGGCTATTATACATGGGCACACCCTGGTCATTTAGAAACACGCCCAAGATCTAAAATCCTAGCTAAGACCCTGCTGTCCAGTATACGACCCCTGACCCCCTAGTCACCCAGCCCCTAAACACAGAATGGCATTGCCTAAAGCTATGTTTTATACACACAATGATCAATCGGGCCAATTTCAGGTTTTGCCAAATCAGGGTGTTAGCCAGAAAAAAAAAGTTTTGTCTGTTAAACATAAATTGGGAAAGTTTTTTTGACTGATCAAAGTCCTTGTGTAGGAATAAATAGTGTTTTTTCCAATGTGTTTCTCCTTAGATGCAAAAACGGTAGCTTGGTTTTGTACATTTCATTTCCAGTGAATGAACACTGAAAAATGCACCCGATGGCACTTCGTTTTGTATATTTCATTTCCGGTGAATGAACATGGATGCACACCGATTATACCGAGGGGCATTTCACTCCAAAAATCCCGTACACTTCGTCAAAAAATCCGGAAAAAATCCGAACAAATCCGGAAAATCCAACAGATTTTCTCTTCAAAAATCCGCTAAAAATCCGGGAAAAATCCGCTAAAAAATCCGCGGATTTTTAAAAATCCGAAAATCCCTTACACTTCATCAAAAAATCTGGAAAAAATTCAAACAAATCCGGAAAATCCAAACAAATCCGGAAAATCCAACAGATTTTCTCTTCAAAAATCCGCTAATAAATCTGGGAAAAATCCACTAAAAAATCCGCAGATTTTTAAAAATCCGAAAATCGCGTACGCTTTTTTGGAGTGAAATGCCCCTCGGATTATACTTTGTTTTGTACATTTCATTTCAGTGAATACACACCCAATATGAATGAAACGCGATACATTTTGAGAAAATAGTTAATGGGAAAAAGTAAATACAACGTTCTTTGATATAATAATATAAAATCAAACGCAATGCACTTTCTCATCAGAAAAAATGAAAATCTTCCAGTAGACCCAGTCGGGAAAGCCCCTTAGCTACTTCAATTGGAAAGAGTCCGTCAAACGGACAGTATATGGGCATAGATTATAGATCATACCAGATGTCTCACTGTGTATCTATCCCTATGATTTTCGTGTCTGCGATTTTCGCAAGGCTATCAGCCAGATAACGTGTGTGACACTTACTGCCAAAATGGCAAGGCTATCAGCCAGATAACGTGTGTGACACTTACTGCCAAAATGGCGCTTACTGCCAAAATGGCGCTTACTGCCAAAATGGTGCTTACTGCCAAAATGCGTGATTGCTCACGTTTCATGGCGTGGATTACACTTACTGCCAAAATGGCGTTGCTCACGTTTCATGGCGTGGATTACACTTACTGCCAAAATGGCGGCCAACATGTGCTTATAAAAAATCACGGACACAATTTTTGTAATGTTAATGACGAATGCTGTCAGTTGACGATGTTGTCAGATGACGCTGACAGCGTATTTTTCAAATATCATTTACTTAAAGCTAAATCGGCCAGATTAATCATTGTGTGTAAATGTACCTTAAGACCTTTACTTGGGGAATGTAAATTTTACATATACTGTGTTATACACCAGTGTGGAAAGTTTGTATTGCGTGGTGGATATCTCCGGTGTGCAATTTTGATGCTTTCTATATATTTACTATTAAATTTTCAAAATCTCCGGCACGCAATTTCCAAACTTTCCAGTCTGGGACTTATACATATTGTATTATATTAGTATACTCACAACAAACACAAGTTCAAACTCATTATCCAACTTGTATTTCAAAGCCAGAGAGCCATGAGTAAATGAATTACCTCCTCCACGTTCCTGCAATAAAGTTGGTTAGAAATAAATAAAGGCTTACCAGTGTAGTATAGTATTTCAAAAAATTCAAATATGTCATTGAGTGATAAAGAAAGTATAAAGGAGTCAAGGGACATGATAAGTCCATTTACCTGAAGTATAACACTTTTAATCAGTTCATTTACAGGTAAAGTAAATGAGTCACAAGTGCCCTGAAAACACCAAAGGACGATGCCTCCTTTAGAGAAAATTGTAAACAAATCCAACATGTTGAAAGTTTTCTTTTTCGGCTGGCAAATGAATTAATGAATGAAAACAATGAATGAAAACAATGAATCATCTGCAGCCTCGTTTTCGATAAGCGCTCAACATGGTCAGTGGTATGAAGTTTGTTTCTTAAGAAACTTTATGTAAGAATTAAGTTGCACGTGTTATTAAATATGGCTGCCTCAACGAGGCAAGTTTCTGGCAGTGCGGAGACATATTTTGCAAAAAAACTTGCTAGCAATGAAAAAACTGTGAGAGATAAAGCTGTGAAAAAATTAAGGACGTGGATATCAACACGCCGCTCTGTTTCATCTGGTTTGTCTCTTTTCTTGCTACTTTATATGGATAGATAGATAGATATTTATTTTTTCCAGTATACAGTTACAATTTTGAAATTCATATGGAAGAAAGATTAATTGATTTAATACTTGATTTTGTTTTAGATAATTTTGTGAATTGTTTGCAATCGATGACGATCGATGATCAGAAAGCCAATCGACAAAGCCTGGTTTCCATATGATCGTTACGATCGCTATAAATATTTACCAGTGACCGTAACGATCGCGATCGTTTGTTCATTTCCATATGATCGCTTCTCTTTTTGCATGCATATGATGTGAGAGAGGTGGGGTTGTTATGTTCGCTGGGGTCTTTATGTTCACTGGGGTCTTTATGTTTGCTGGGGTCTTTATGTTCGCTGGGGTCTTTATGTTCGCTGGGGTCTTTATGTTCACTGGGGTTGTTTTGATTGCTGAGATAGAAACTGTTCAATCTCAGCGATCACGATCATAGCGGTCGCTGCAATCGCCACCTCATTCATTTCCATATAATCACTATGATAACTGGTACATTTTTTCAGCAATCGTAATGATTAAAGTGATCATAACGTTCGATCATGTGGAAACCAGGCTTTAATATTGACCGACAATCAATTGATAGCCACAAAATTCCATCTGTTTGGCAATTTCTGATATGAATTTCAGTTCACTGCCAGTACCAATCTACCATTTAATTACCAGTCAAATGTGTTTAATGGGTCATTCCAGAAAAGATCCATACCCCCCACGGAGGAAATCGAAAATACCCCCTTTCGGACATCCTGGAATGGTTCATCCCCCTCTCCGGATGTCAAAGCCCACAATTACCTTCGGACAACCACTATTTCTAAATTTTTCTTAAGGCTACCTCGCCGTTTGAAAACGGCACCGAAAATTAGACTATGTTCACACTACGCACAGAGAGAACTAATGCGGGCAGAATTTACGTGTGTTCACACTACGCCATTACAGTTAGTTTACAAATTAAATTAGCACTCATCTGGGCTCTGGCGCACAGCTCTATAGTGGATGTCAAATCTGAACCTCTTTATACCAATAGACCTTATGCATAATGACGTCACAAGGCTTGATACCTGCGAGGAATGCTGGTCTTAGTAGTCATCGCCCAGGAAAATTAAACAATTTAAAATGGCCATTATCGAAATTTTCCCGGGCGATGACTACTAAGACCAGCATTCCTCGCAGGCATCAAGGCTTGTGACGTCATTATGCATAAGGTCTATTGTTATTGAGAAATTCTTGGTCTAGCTGCAGATTTATGAGCAACCAAAAGCATGTGTGAAGTATTCCATGAAGATCCAATAGGATGTATTAACCAACTGAGTTGCACTGGTGCTCAATGGAGGGCACTGGTGCACAATGGATTAATCAATCTAGTTAACCAATTAAGTTGCATTGCATTATTATTATTTTACCCTGTCTAATACCAGACGATTTTACTCATCAAATGCATAGGTAGGTGTGGCGATGACATCATCGTTCATGTTGTTGTTGAGAGTTTGGACAAACGGTGATTTAGACATGCGATCATCACGCTTGTATTAATTTAAGTAATAAAACTATACTTTCGGAAACAGCTATCAGTATCGTTACATGGTGTCAGGTGTGGGATAGTACTGCACGACCGAGGCGTTTTTTCAAGGAAAAGAACCTGTACAATCAACAAATAAAAGAACCCATACAATCAACAAATAAACAGTAAATACATCAAGCAATGGCAGAGGCGGAAGTGCCTGCCGCCATGTTCCACCGATTTGATGACAACATTGCGATAAGTTGGAAAACATGGAAAAAGCCTTGGAAACACTTTGAAATTGCTACGGCAGTTTATAAGCAAGACGGATTGTTTGTGTGTCAACCCTGCTAAGCATAATACTGTAGGTGAAGATGGCGTCAAAACATTCGACACTTTTACGTGAGAAGGCGAAAGCGAAGACAATATAGACCATGTTCTAAAGAAATTTGGGTGAGAATTTTTCAACTTATTTAACTGAATTAAGAACAATTGCTCGGAATTGTGATCATGAGTCAATTACACCCGATGAAATATTAAGAGATAGACTAGTATTGGGCATAAGAGATGACAAAGTTCGCGAGCGATTGCTGCGAACAGATGGGTTGTCACTCAAGAAAGCTGTTGAAATAATCAAAGCCGCAGAACAAACACTACTACAAGTAAAACAATTGACTGGGCATTTATCTGTAAACACAATTAAAGAAAATAAAGGTGACGCAAAAGTTACAATGCGAAATACCCAAGAGAGGCGGGGCCAAGGTCAAGCAAGGGGCGGAGCCCAACAGCGCCAACAGCATAATAGCTGTCGCAATTGCGGAAGAAATCATGGCAGACGAATTTGCCCAGCATTTGGAAAAAATACCATAGCTGTAACAAGCTTAACCATTTTGAAAAGATGTGTCGAAGCAAAAACGTGTCTCTAGTCCAAGAGGACTCTGACACGGATTCAGAGGACACGTACGGCATTAGCTCTGTTTCCAAGAATAAAAAGAAGAAAGGTTCTCGGGCAAAAGCAGCAGTGAGTGACAAAATTGCACATTAGTAAACAAAAGAATGAGAACAATGTTGAGATTCAGTTGGACACAGGGGCCCAGTGCAACATTCTTCCTACTGAGACATATGTAAAGGTCACAGGAGATACTGAGCTGTAGTTAAGCTGTGTAAGAAAGAGATTGTATTATACACTGGAGAGCGACGCAACATAACTGGAAAGGTCATACTTCCTGTATGGCATGCTGGGGAAAAGCAACTGATCAAGTTCAATATCATTGATGGTGACTGACGACCAATTCAGTCTCTAGATACCAGCCTACAGTAGCTTTGGGTATTCTAAACCTGCGACATTGTGACATATCTGGGTATCCAATCCCCTAAAGACCCAGCAAGTGAACACAAGGACAAACCTGCGACATTGTGACATATCTGGGTATCCAATCCCCTAAAGATGTTTGATGGTTCATTAGGTAAAATACCAGACACATACAAGATTGTGATTGACAGTACAGTTCAACCTGTAGTCCACCCTCCACGACGAGTGCATGCCAGTGGCCCTGCGTCCACGTATAAAATCGGAACTGGGATAAGTTAGTTGAACGTGAAGTGATCGTTCCAGTGACCAAACCAGCACAGTCAAGCATGTTAGCTGTAGTAAAACCAAACAAAATCAGGATCTGCATAAATCCACGTGATCTTAACCGTGCAATACATTATCAATAGATGATTCCAGTTACAGACTTAATTTTGAGCTCGGCAAGTAGAACGAAATCCATCAGCACAGCTAGAAAGAGCATGTTAAAATTAGTAAAATTGCAAAGATTGGTTGCGAAATGTTGTAAAATGGAAAAAATATAGCCCTGCGAAATTTGCAAATTTTGTATTAATTTGTATTATATACGCACGGGAAAATGCACCACTTTCGGCCCAAATGTACTGCATTTTCCCGCGCGTAATACAAATTAATACAAAATTTGCAAATTTCGCAGGGCTATATTTTCCGCATTTTACAACATTTCGCGGCCAAACGTTGCAATTTTACTTATTTGAACATGCTCTTTCTATAGCTGTGGTGATGGATTTTGTTCTTCTTGCCCAGATCAAAATTTAGTCTATAACTGGAATCATCCATTGCCCACTGTAGAAGAAGTGACTACCCGGTTAACAGGGGCAAAGAAGTTTACAGTTTGCGATGCAAAAGATGGATTCCATCAAGTACAACTCGACTCAAGTTATCTGACCACATTTAACACTCCCTTTGGTAGGTTTCGGTGGATCGATTGCCATTTGGAATTTCGAGTGCTCCCAAGGTTTGGCAGCGTCGTACGCACGAGTTTGTAGAAGGTTTAGAAGGTGTCGAAGTATTAATTGCGCCACATTTAACACTCCCTTTGGTAGGTTTCAGTGGATCGATTGCCATTTGGAATTTCGAGTGCTCCCAAGGTTTGGCAGCGTCGTATGCACGAGTTTGTAGAAGGTTTAGAAGGTGTCGAAGTATTAATTGCGGACGACTATCTCATTGCTCTTTTTGACTTTTGGGAATACTGAAGAAGAGGTCAATGCGATCTTAGAAAGGAATTAATGAACGGGTGTTTTTCGATAAATGTCGAGAATGGAACTTAATGTTGAACAAAAGCGAGCACAATCGTCAGTGGCGTTCATGGGGCATCTCCTCACATCCGAAGGGTTAAAGCCTGATCTGGCCAAAGTGGAAGCAATCCTTGAAATGCCCCCTCCAACTGATGTCAAAGGTGTAAAGTGTTTTCTAGAGATGGTCAACTACCTCGCCAAATTCCTATACCATTGTTATCGGACATGACTCAACCACTACGAAAGCACGAGGACAAGGATGTTGAGTGGTGTTGACTGGAGCAATATGAAAAAGCATTTAAAACAGTAAAGGACTACCTTGCGAAAGCCCCAGTACTTGCTTATTATACGACGTCACTAAATGACTAAAGAGGTAACAGTACAATGTGACGCCAGTGAAACCAGACTTGGCGCCGTGTTGTTGCAAGAAGACCAGCCAATTGCATATGCCTCAAGGGCGCTGACGGAGACAGAGACCAGGTAGGTATACCCAAATTGAAAAGGAACTATTGGCAATTGTTTGGGCTACCAACAAATTTGATCAAAAGAAACTTACAAAGAACTTAAATTTGATCAATCCTTGGTCGCAGGATTGTACGCATTGAATCAGACCATCAACCACTGAAAGCAGTTTTCGCAAAGCCTGTCCACAAATCGCCTAAGAGATTGCAAAGAATGTTAATGGCCCTACAGAATTACACACTAGAAATACATTACAAGAAAGGAACATTAATGTGGATTTCAGACACCCTGAGTCGGGCATAACGAAGTACAGTACAACCGAGTCTGCCGAACACGACCTAAGCGAAGTATGTGCATTAGAAGAAGTTGACCACTGCGAAGGTGTGTGAATAGCTCGAACCGGTTAAGCCAGTTTAAACAATGTACAGCAACAGACCCAGTGATGCTGTTTAACAACTCATTACCGCTATCAATACAGGATGGGCAATAGACCAGAAACAATGTACACCAGCACTAATTCCATTCTATAACAATCGAAGCGAACTTATTGAAGATAGTGGATTAGTTTTCTTTGGGGAAAGACTCGTTGTCCCTTCATCCTTAAGAAAAGAAATGCTACAGCAAAATCATAAGTCCCATATAGGTATTGAGGGTTGTCTGCGGCAAGCAAGGGAAGTGATATATTGGCCACGAATGAATGCGGAGGTGCCGAAAATGCAGTGAAAACCTGTAAATCCCTATTAAAGAAAGCAAGAGCCAGCGGTGAAGATCCTCTATAAGCATTACTAGATTGGAGGAACACCCCGACTGACTGAAAATATGGGAACCTCACCAGTGCAAAGATTAATGTGTCAACGAATTCGTACATTGCTTCCCACAAATCAGAATCTTCTCAAACCACGGGAACAAAACGGAACAAAGAAGGAAGTAGAGAACCGCAAAGCAAAACAAGTAAGGTTGTCTAACGAGAAATATAAACCGCTGGAGCCCCTACAAAGTGGATGTGCCATTAGAATGAAACTTCGAGGTGATAACCGTTGGTCGCTTGGTACCTGCGTACGTGCACTCAACAACCGATCTTTCGAAGTCGAGGTTTGTGGAAGACGATATCACCGTAATCGCCGTTTTCCACGTGCGACCAAAGAGATGGCAGCACCTCCCAACGCGAAAGATTCCCAAATCGAACCGAGCGAGCCAATCAAAACGGACCTCACCCCGAGTTTACCAATCGTGGAACATAGCACCCCAACTATATAACCCTATAACCCATGAAACGGGAAATGAAAATCTGGCAAGCAGTACTGGCAGCAATGGAGGTTGAACGCCGAGTGAATATAACGCGGGACAAGAAGAGACAATCCCCCGTCGAACTACGCGAGTGCGACGTTCGCCAGAATGGCATAAAGATTACGAAAGACGCCAATAATTATCACGCATTATTTAGTTATATGTTAGGCATAAACACTATGATGCCGTTAAACAATTTCGTTGGAACACACACAAAAAAAAAACATAAACAATTTTATTTTGAGAGGAAGATGTGGCGATAACATCGTTGATGTCACGTGAGTTCATGTTGTTGTTGAGAGTTTGGACAAACTGTGATTTAGACGTGCGATCATCACGCTTGTATAAATTTAAGTAATAAAGCTATACTTTGGGTAACAGCTATCAGTATCGTTATTCGTTACAGTACAGTAGGTTTCAGAAGCTCCACGGTCAGGAAAAAATGGCAGGAAAATGTCTGCCAAATTAATAGGAGTAAATATGTGAAAAGTAATACAAACATACACAGTCAGTTCATCGATTGTTATTGATAGTCCATTTTAATGCAATTAGTCTATTAAAATAATTGTTATCAATACCGATCAATTAGCTCACATGAGCATCCTTCATCAATTGTACCAGTATCCTTCAATCATATACATCACAGGTTAAATAGCTCGTTAATTCTGAAGATTAATATAAAGAAGATCAATCTTTAAACTGTTGGACTGGAATACATAATTCAAGTTTTACAATCTGTTGAGGAATTTGGGATAGGACTGGCAGATGTATTCTTATATTCCCAGGAGATTATACTCTAAATATGTAACTTATATGAGGATTGACAAAATGTTTAGGAAACTATACTTACAGTAACTTACCAAGGAAAACTAACCATGTGTAGTACAGTATAAATGAATAAAAAAGAATTCTAATATTACACACATGCTTATTTACAGGTCTTACTGAGAGTGACATGCTAAAGCTTTGGAAAGGTCTCTTTTATTGCATGTGGATGTCTGATAAACCTAAAGTTCAGGTAAACATAATCATTTTCTGCAATTCGCAGCAAATTATATAAGTTGCACTTACTGTAAAAGATTTTTTAAGTAAGACGATGATACCCGACAGTATAACGTCTCATAATCCTTGTAATACAGATGTTCTTTTATGAAAACGTTACAATATTTAAGTAAGTAAGTGGGGCGTGCTAATCATCCTTTCTTGCAGCTGAGAGCTAAGCTGAATTACGAGGGACGCAGCTCAACCTGATCGAGTCGAAGGCTTTCTAAGGGCGCTTATGGCAGCCACCTTATGACTCATGTCTGATCACGGAGCACAGCTACGATGGAAGGGTCAGTTGGGGGATAACCCCAACCCACCATGTAAACATTCCCTGTGGGAGGAAACCGGAGTACCCGCAGAAAACCCACGACTTTCGGTAGAGCGTTGACTGACTCTTTTCACATAAGTGCATGTCGGCCATGTCATGCATGCGTCCGTAGCGAGAATCGAACCCACGATCTCAGAGATGAAAGGCTCTGACGATTGCGCCACCGAAGCCCCATATTTCAATTAACACCGAAGCCTCATATATATTTCAATTATATTTAGGAAGAATTAGCTGAAACCATTGCTCAACTCCTTCACAGTTTTCAAATAACCGCTGCAGGTATGTCTAGCAAGGTAGTGAATTACTGAATTTATATATTGGTTATTGACTGCGAGTGAAAGATGAGCTGAAGGATTTTTGAATTGAGATTCATGGCAGGAAAGAAGAGCAATATTTTCCTTTTTACGATTAGCATTTCTATAGCGCAAATTCACATGTGGATACGATCAAATGCGCTTTACATCAAGTATTATACGCTTACCTAATTACTTACTTAGCCTATCACGCGTAAAAACGCTCAGGTTGATGCAATACTGATGAAAACAGGATTGAACAATGTTTTGCTGCCCACATTGTTCATAGCTGTGAACAATATTGTTACACCCGATTCAGGCTCAACAACATTGTTCAACAAAGTTCTTGCAAAAAACGCCGAGCCCGTTGCTCAACAGGACTGAACAATGTATTGTTGCCCACGTTGTTCACACTTGTCAACAATACATTGTTCAATCCTGTTGAGCAACGGGCTCGACGTTTTTTTGCCGTGTAGACTATTTGATCTTTACAACAATTGTTATATTACTTTCTTAAATGTGTTTATCCTAACCCACCCTGTCAACTTTCTCTGTGGGAGGAAACCGGTGCACCCAGAGAAAACCCACGACTTTCGGCAGAGCGTTGACTGACTCTTTTCACATGAGTCCGTAGTGAGAATCGAACCCACGAACTCAGAGGTGAAAGGCGCTTGCTCTGACTACTATGCCACCGAGCCCCTTTTCCAGGAATTCTCAAAAACCCTGACCAGTTGGTTATTACATAAGTTTCAGCTTGCATGTTACTGTAGTATTATTACCGACAGACTACAGTGCATTCATTTTATCCACTTTATGACAGTGTAAACATTACTTTATAATCAATGAGTATAAAATTTCTGCCGTTCAGCTGTAGATTATCTCGATGGTTTTTACAAAACGATATGTCGAGAATGGCATGGAATAGACCGTTTGCGTTTGGATAAATTTTATCTGGTAAGTATTAACCAAATTTTTTTCGAGTTACGAATAGCTGTATGAATTACTGTAACTTTCAAACTTTGAGTTGTTGCAAAGAGTTTTTAGAAATTCTCCTTAACCTTTATCTTAGTGTTTGAAATATTTGGGACCGAACACATCTTACAATCCATCATCGTTTTTATCATTGGCCATTTCAAAACGGAAAAATAGCTTGAAAATATCAGAAAAACGTTTCTACATAACTTGTGCTATTTATAAATAATTAACCAAACAATTACAACAGACATGCAGGAGGAAAAATAAGCTTTATAAATTGCTCAATACCGTAATCTCTGTATTTAAGTGCACTGGGAGGATTATTTCACCTTACTGGTGCTTATTGGAGAGCATAGCAGGAATTAGTGGTCTGTCATCTAGGATCCCAGAAAATTTTCAAACCTGGCTTGCAGTAGCTGGCAGAACATTTTAGGGCATATTGCATGTGTGCTATAACTGGCATCATGCACCGTGACTTATTTCAATACATCAAAATAATCCCGCCTCACATCTCGTTCTGGCAAAGCGGCATCATATAAACAGCCAATATTCAGCAAATTGCAAATGCTGCCTTTGATCCATTGGGGGCGAGGCAGCACTTTCCTTACGATAGTAACTTCTAGTTTATTAGTAATATTAGGAAGAATATTCGTGACATCTGCAGAATACTTTGACCGCGAAACTCCACAAGCGCAAAAGCCCTGCATGCATGGGTACGAAGTTGCGCTGGTCCTTGAGTTTAATATTTTATCTTTACAGCTAATTCGTAAGTTTGTGTACCAGGGTATTGTGTTTCTCAAGAACCATGGTTGGAAGAATGAGTACGTATTTCTGGGAGTTTGTTTTTAATTCTCTAACTAACTTTTCAACCTATATATATATATATATATATATATATATATATAGCTTAAGATTTTGGTTTACGAAACACAAACAGTGCTCAATACCATATAGATAGAGCGTAATATAGTTTTTCGTTTTACCTCAAAAAATGATTCCTATACGGATGAAACAGACTGTTGTGGTTTTTTGAGGTAAAACGAAAAACTATATATATATATATATATATATATATATATATATATATATATATATATATATATATATATAT